AAATTGCACAATTTCTTGATACTAATGTTATGGTATTCTTCTAATGTGTGCACAGTATATCAACAGATTAATACTATCTGACACTTGTGTGTCTAATGAATGAAGACTGTTGAAAGTAAATGAAATCTTTAATAGACTAGGAGAAGGTAATTGCAAAGCATTTTATTGGGCTATATAGTTTCACCGAATGTGACACAACGAGCGCTTTTGTGCGCAGAGGGAAAATTAAAGCCTTAAACATTGAAAAAAATGATTATACACCAGTTTTCAATACAATGGACAATAGTTTTGATATTCAAGAAGATTTTAAATTTCTAAAACAATTTGTTTGCATTTTATACATGAAAGACAAATATAGTGACATAAATAAGTTGCGTGTTGACATTTTCAGACAAAAGTTTTGACCAAATGCAGACATACTTACAAATACCGATGGAATTTGCCTGAGTTTAATACCACCATGTTTTTCCAAATTAAAGATACATATTTTTAGATAAAAGTACAAAGAAGTTGTGTAGCGAATATCCTTTTATTGTAAATTAATTCCCAACCATTTCAAGTCCTGATAGATATGGCTGGAATATTGGTACAACCGAAGGTCTCAAATATACCTGGACAGAGGGAAATACAGTGCCACCAGAATTGATTTATATCATAGCTTGTAAAAATGCTTGTGTAAGTGTAAGAAGGTGATGAAAATGAAGAAGAAGATTTAGAAGGAAATTGAGATGATAAAATATAGTGATGACATTTTTGAAGACAAATGTACGTGCTAATAAATATATGACTCTAAAGCTGTATTGTAAAACATAACAAAAGGGGTGTAATTTTTATTCTTTATAAACCAAACTGAACAACAGAAAGTCTATACGCACACTTTTTATTTTTAGTGATGTTTTGCTTTAAAAAAAAACCACGAAGTTTATATTAAAATGTTAATCAAATTACAGGAAAATGGCGGCCATTTTGAATTTGGCGGCCATTTTTGAAAAGTAAAAACATCAATAAATTATGAAGGAAATAATTTTAGACACCTTGTCTATGATTCAAAACAAAAACCGACCACATATCAATTCACTTGGCTAAAAAAATGGTTATTTCAATTTGGCTGTTTATTAAGACATTGTGATAGGGGGAGATAATTCATAAGCGTTGCGCCTCCAGATTCCTGTTTATTTTATGAAAACTTGAAATGTGTATTCTTATTATGGATTGTTTAATATTTTATACAGACGACCTGACTACCGTTTAAAAGTTGACTTTTATGTTTTGTTGAAATTAATAAGTATAATAAAGCATTTAAAAAATATTTTCTACATATACAGTATACGTTAAACATTTGCCAAACTACTAGTTACATGTATCATTACTGTGAAGCAGATAAAATAAGATACTACTACTGTAACAGTATTTTTTATGAGTGAACCATAGTTGGTTCGGTGCATCATTCAAGAATTCGGCGTTTACACGTAAATTTGATCTCAGTCACATTTTATAAACAGATTAAAGTAAAATATGATAGGAGTAGTTTGGCAAATGTTTCATGTTCACCGAATATCAAAAACCATTAGGTTTAATTTTGTATTTAGATATATCGATGAAATACAAAAGTAGCAATTAATACGCTAGTCAGATTGTCATTCTCACGTAATACTATGATCTTGAAAAATAAACGTATTGAATTCCTTTAAAATATGTTTGAAATATAATGTCTCAGCAGCCGTATGCGCTGATTTATTTCTTTTAATTTGATGTACATTTGATGAAAATTATTGGTTTATTTTCTTTCCGTGGTGTTCGTTCCGGTCACTGAATTGCACAATTCCTGTGTTTTTGCACATTCCTGCGTTATTGAATTTACACGTTTATTATTTATTATCAATATGATTGTAATTAACATAATTATGCTCGCGGGAAAGCAAAACTGTCCAAATATATACTTGTATAATGTACTTCAGTTAAGAAAGTTTCTATCATAATGTAATTGTTCAAAGCAAAGATGTTAAAACATTTGTTACTTTTTATTGTAAGATAAAAAGAGAGTTACTCTCTGTGAATGTATTCATTTCCTTTATCTTTATTACATAATTAAGGAATTCCCAGATGCATAATGAAAAACATCTAGAGAAATACAAATATTTGATAATGATAAGACAAAATTAGTATGAGAATATGATGATATATAACGTGTGCTTATCAAAATCGTTGCACTTGACATTACTTAAATTCTTAAATTGGTATGGTTATCGTTAATCTACTATTTTGAAACAATAAGTGTGTATTTTGTTTCCTTATTCATTAAAACATCACATAATAAAAACATTTTCTACACGAGTTTTTCTTATTTTAACAACACGTTTAGGGATGGGGAAGGCGGTATGTCATATGGACATTTCTTTCTCTTTATTTAATCGGATCAAACTTGGGCTTAACATCATAATGGACCAAAATTTCACGTTAAGTACGTCAAAGATGACCTTGAACTTTAGCTGACTAAGACAAAGCTGAAAACGTAGCCCAGTTGTTGCAAAATATTACTTCGTGGCAAAGCCATGCCCATATTTCTTGTCTAAAATTTACTTTTGTTTATAGGTAAAAAGTACTTGTCATCTACCCGAAGAGAGCGCTTTTATGTTTGACGAAAATTACCAGCAACTTACAAATAAGCTTTGTCAATGCTCTGTACAGACATTTAAGGAAATATTCAAGAAACAGATACAGAAACATAGAATCAGGTTTAACAGAAAACTTTTCAAAAAATTACTTAGTTGTTAGAATACATAATACTAAATGTAAACAAGCAACAAGATAACGAGTGTACATGTATGTGAAATAAATGGACATGGGACATGAGATAAATACAATGAACTCCTGCATCAAAAATCTGGCTTGGATTGCACCTAGCAATTAACACAAAATCAGACCATCCCTCCAAACTGCTTACTTTGAAATTAAACAAGGCAGTCTGAAGGACAGCCAGATCCCCTTCCGCAGCAGACATGAAAATTTGTACTTCTTGACCTTTAACAGACCATGACCTTGATGTTGTGCCATGTTTATTTTAAGCATAAAGTCCCATGATAGTAATTATTTGTACCAAGTTATCTAAAATCTTCAAAAAGTGATGGAGAAAATTTATCCTTGACGTTAGGGGTATGAAGCTGGTTGTTTTGGTCTGCACATTATGTCACTATGTCTACATATTTTGTTATCATTTGTGCCAAGTTATATCAAATATTTTTTAGCGGCTTAAAAGTCATGGGGCGAACACGAAACGTAGACTTAATAACTGTTCACCTTTAGGTATGACATTGACCCTGGCGGTAGCAACCTTATTATTGTGCTCTGTACATCATGTTACGATGTTGATCATTTGTGCCAAATTATTTCAAAATTTTTTCAGCGTTTTAAAAGTTATGAAGTGGACACAAAATGTAGACTTGCTAACACTTGACCAAAATTTTTGCAACGGTTTTTAAAGTTATGGAGCGGACACGAAATGTACTCTTTAATACTTGACTTTTAAGTGTGACCTTGACCTGTGGGGAAGCAACCCAATTGTTGCACTCTGCACATCGTCTAATGGTGATCACTTGTACCAAGTTATTAAAAAAATTATTCGACGATTTAAACGTTTTGAAGCGGACACGAAAGTGTTACGGACGGACATTCCAACATTTGGGTTTTATGTGAGTTTTCTTTGACCTTTATGTGGCACTTTTCCCCAATAAACCAGTAAAAAATACCACAAAAACAAGTCGGTTTATGTGATTTCCTCTTTTTTTAACTAAAATTATGGACGAAATGTAGCTCATAGACCATTGGATTTTCGCCCGGACGAACGAACTGACAGACGGAGATCATTCCTATAACCCCCTTCACACTATGCGGAAGAGGATAAATAATCCCCTCTCCAATATGCGGAAGGTGATTAACAATTGGCCCATTTAAAAAATTTTCATGGACCACCATTTTGACGCTATGAAAGTAGGCTTTTATCTTCACTATCGTTTTGAATGTTTTGTTGTAACGCAGTATTATTATGATAAATAAATAAATAAATAAATTGTTTTCCAGATACGGGAGACGGAAGAGGAGAGTTCTTCGGATAATCGGGCAAAAAATGAGAATGTATTTATATTCTTGTTCAGATGCATGTATCTGTTAATAAAAGTTAATATACAAAACAGTTGCTGTATGAAAGTGCGCACAGTATTTTGTGTTTCTCATTATTGTTATTATTGTAAAAAAATGTTTAAGGTTTTACTGTCTTGTTTAAGCTTGATAACAGGATAATTTTTTTTTGGAATCCGAGTGAGAGCATTTAGAAAAAAACTTTTATCCCGTTTTCAGAACTAAACTAGGCAGTAAAACGTTATTTTTAAAAAAATATATAAATGTGTAAAACCAGTTTTTGGTGCGCGACAATATATTTTGATGTTCTTACGATTTCCTATAATAGAAACATATTTTACCTTCGAGTCGACGGCATGTTTACAAAAAAGAACAATAAAAACAAAAACAGTCGGATTGGGAGCATTTTGCAGATGCGCGATGACGTAGTATCCTACCATTGTAAATTTTTTGTACAAATACGTAATTATGTAAAATGCGATTGAAAATTGCAATGATGTGCTGTTATTAAATGCATTGGTCGTAAAATGCGGAACGGTTAACTCTTTCTCATTTAAATACATTCATAATGTACAGCTTTGCAGCATTTATATGTAAAATGCATTTTTGCATTGCAGTAAAAGGCATTCATGTAAGACTTATTGATTTCTGTAAAATACATTGAAACATTGCTGTATAATGCATTTTTGTAAAATGGATATTGATTTGTAATATTTAAATAGCATATTAAATTGTTTAGATTTTCTAAAGTATGATCAATATTGCTTGATTAGATATGTGTTTCTTAATAATACATATTTACATATAACAAATAGAGATTTAGATTACCAATCGGTGAACTCACAACTCAAGGCTTGTAAGGAAGGTGACATTGTTCGAAGTGGTCGTACTTATTACAGAGTTCACACAATGAGACAACAGATTTATGTTATAAGTGATGTGATAGAAAAAACAGTTCCAGTCGACATCAGAATAAACAAAATTTCCTGTACTCAAAGTAAGTCTTTTTCGTGCTATACGCAATACATAGACTTGTACAGGTTAATGTAATGATATCTTTGTAAGGTTTTACAACTCCGACTAACAAATCAATGATTAAACTCTTAAATGCAAAATGTAAATGAATGTGCCATTTTCCAGAATGTACGAGCTTATAGAGGGTCTAAATACCTTTTTACAAGTGTTAAGAGGTGTCAAGGGTGCTATTGTTATCTGATCTTTCGCAACTAAACGTTATAGTGATGAAAACAGAATACTTGTTAAGCCGATGCTAGAGTAAAATTGCCCTTTCGATACAACTTATGATATTTTCTGCATTGATCCTACTTGTGTTTTATAGCTCGAAATTTTGATTGCTTTTTCAAAAAAAGTTGCAAATTTAATCTGTGTTTTTATGTTTGATTAATATCAATTCTTCTGGCTATTAGGCTGACATACAAAATATATAATATCTGTTCGAAAAGGTGTTATTTCATTAAAGATTATTCTCTCATTTAAAAGACATAGTACTGCAATCTTTAGGCTGCAGTAAAAAGAATCAAATTTATATTTATACTTGTTTTTACACTCTCTTTGCTGTTTCAAACGGTGGTTGGTATTCGGACAAAAAACTAAAACTAAAATTTTACAGCCACATTTAAGTGAGAAAAAAAATGCTTATTTGCTTAATTTAAGCAAAAATGTGGCGGCATTTCGTCTCTCTTTGTTTTTCATTATAGCATTTAGCAATTACAAAACTAATCATGAGATAGAACATTTAGCATATTAAGCCCCGCCTATAAATTAAGCACGAATTTCTGATAAAGCGTTATCATCCTGATTTAACTAGACTATAGTGAAAATGATCAGCGTCCCTGTAAATGTCACTTGTAAATATGAATGTCACTTGTAAGTAGTGCATGTGCTTAATCCTCCTTATAAATGTATAATATGTATGTCCAAAAAATAGAGAAAAACAAAGATTTTAAAGTCTTCAGGACATCCGAGGGATTATCAGAAATAAACCGGACTGGGACTGTCAGTTGAAGAATTTTCAAACAATTGATTATTGTTATATATCACAATTAATCTGTAAACTGACGCTATATCTAATTTGATAACGCAAATAGCTTGTACGTAATAGCGAATTAAACTAGAACTGTGTTCGGACGGTCGGACAAGTGCAAGTGCGTTGACATAAAAACCATGTCAACGCACACCCGGCGCAGTGCATGGATTTGCGCTGACAATAGGCGCTTTATGAAGCGTATATTTTACAATATTTCTCAATTAGATTTCAAAATACGCCGAAACATCATGAGCCATAATTGACGTTGTCAGAAAATATTACTTCATTTCAATCACATTCATCGTTGCAATCACAATAAATATGTCACTTGAAAAAGAAAATTTGGTGTTAAGATTATGCCGTCGGAACGCCACGAAAATCGATCAATAAGAAATTGTGTCAATAGTAAGTTAAACTAAGACAGAGATAACATAAAAAGAGAAAAGGTTAAGGCAGCCACAACATAGTTTTTAATTGACATAAATGATAAAGAAAGGGTTAATGAGAAATTAAAAAAAAATAATAAGGGATAGGTAGAAGAAATTCTCAAGGACGTTGGTGACATCAATCGCCGAGAGAGAGAGACGTTTATAATGGGCAGGCGATTGAATGCGGACTTTATAAACGACGTTCTACAGTAGATACTCTAACAAAAGAATTTAAAATGATACATATTAATGCGATTATTATCACACTGACCATAGCTTTCACAGCAGCGTGGGTTCATTGCAGCGGCGATGGAGATTCTGTCGCAGAAGCGGTGGATAAAACATGTCCGTTTTCTGATGTCGGTAAGTTTATAATTTAATTTTACTTTATGTTTTTATGTTTCACCGGAAACACCTAGTTGAACCGGAGCCCACATAGGTACTTTCCAACTTATTATACGCACACGGTGTAATTCATTGCCATTTGTGCTAACACTTATGAACAGTTTGACGTGGGGACGCCACTTTTGCCAAAATGGCCCCTTAATGCACAAGCATCACACAATATATATAATATTTGCGCAAAACAACAATGATTTGAATTTTTGAAAATTGATATTGTCTTTTTATAACATAATTGATAAAAATTGATTACAACGCAGACGGCCGTGGATTCAATTGCAACGTAGTGCGGTGGTACCGATGTCATTAATGTATATTGTGAGAGTTGAACTTGACATAACGCATCTTTTTTTTAAATTTAGAATAACCATTGTCTTACGTTGACATCAGAGAAACGCCTTCTTTTAGAGTTTAAAAAAATATTATTATATATTATAAGAAATTTACACTGACTATCGGTACAGACCGGAATGTCTAGCTGGAGGTTTATGGTTTACTGCTGCGGTAACAAGGCTCTTCTGATTGGCCGCTAAACAGTTACCCGAGAGCAAGATATTCCCGGCTATATCAACAGTAAACGGTAGATAATCCTGACTGATATAATATATAACGGTTATATATCTTGATATACACATATGCTGTCAATTTATGAGGAAATCTCTTTTTTATATTAAAGATGCTTGCTGTATTATAAATGTGTTATGAAGATTTTTACGGGTTATATGACCGCATTTAAAGGGTTGCAACAAAACATTTGCTTAGCGGTTTAACAAGAAACGGTCATATAACTTGTCAAAAAATCTTTATAAGTAATATTGTAATACTGTACGTTTATCAAATGGAAATCGACGTAGCGAGCTTGCAGTATTTTAAACATATATAGGCAAAAATAAAGATGTTCGACATATTTTCTTGAAACGTTGCATGATGTTAGAATATAATAAACATTTTAAGCGTCACCAATCTTATTTTCTGCACATTCTTAAAAAATAAGCCATTATTGAAATCACATACCATTTTTTCGATGAATGCCACAATTAAAGCAAAATACGAAAAACTCCATATTCTGTTCTGTACAAATACAGAGAAAGTTAGCTAATAAAAATAAGAAAAAATGGATTATATTTACATTTAATAAGCTAAACGAGATCGTTAAATGGTTTTCTGTCATGCAAAGTTTTAATTCTGACTCCAAATACGTCCTAAAATGTTATCGTAACGGTTAAAAGTATTTATTTTTAGTTTTGACTGTAAAATCTACTTATTTTGGAAATGTGATAAAAGTATATTTTAAATTTCCTAATTCATTTAAGTCGTTGGTTAAATAAAGTAGTAATATTTTATCAAAAGTGTTAAATAATTTAGTACTGAACCCTAAGTGACCATGTACTGCACATTCTGAGTTAAGCCTGGAAACTTAAAGACTGTTGTTTTCTTATTTCTCATATTATATATATATCTCAAATATTTAAATATTCATATGATGCGCACGGTTTATAACAATATCATTGTGGCTATTGGTATACAAAAACCATTTTGTTTCATAGGCAAAAATAAAAGATATTCCCCTGTTGTCGCAATAGAAAACTCTTCTGTTTCATAGGCAAAAAATAAACACGTTCCTTGTTGTCGCAATATGAAACTCCAAAAAAGTAACGAATGAACGAGCATTTAAATATGTATTCTCCCGCACATCGGTCGAATATTCTACTATCATCCATTTTCTTGTCTTTAGTAGCGTGAGCGTATTCAGTTAGCTGCGAAGGGAGCGTAATAAAAATGACATTTCTGTCGTCCTTTCACTGTCGTTACATTCAGTAAAATCCAGAAAAAATGAACAATTCAATAGACATGCTCTCGAGTGCGGTAACTAAAACTGCACTCATGTTAATGCACCATGAATGTATATATACGTATACGATTGAACTCTGACACATTTTCAATAGAAAGGTCCCCAAACTATGATACAATTATGAATTGGTGTTCTCAGTTTGGTTATATAACACATTGACATTCAAACTGAGATTGTTTTTCATATTTACGAAGCATGTTCTGTTAAACGTTACGGGAATTTCTTTTATATGTTTGTTGTTCAACTCACGAACTCAAGGTCTTTTTAAGTCCCAGGTTGAACGTAAACTATTCTACCAAATGTATAACAGTGGAAGGAAAATGGAAGCGCAACTCGAACATCTATTTGCATAAATAATCATATTATTTTAATTAAACTAAAGAAACACGTTTCTCTGATGTCAAAGTAAGAAAAGTTTTGTACTCTATTGAAAAATGAGTTATTGTCATGTAAACCCTCACAATAGACAATAACTGTATCGGGACAAACGCACTGCGTTGCAATCAAATCTGCGTTGTAATTAAGTTTTGTTAATTATTTTGTAAAAAGGCAATAACAATTTTCAAAACTTCCAAATTATGGTTGTTTTGTGCATTTATCATACATACCATGTAATTTTGGCGTATTTAGGGGTCGTTTTGTACATATGTATACGTGTTTTAACCAAAATGAGGCAACGGCGGCGTCACCTCGTCAAACTGTACAGAAGTGATGAATAGCACAGTGTGCGTGTCATACGTTGAAAAAATACTTATGTGGGATCCAGTCTCAATAGGTGTTTCCAGTAAAACATAAAAGCATAAAGCAAAATTCAGTCATAAACTTACCGACAGCAGCAAGCGGCCATATTTTATCCACCGCTTCTGTGAAGAAATCTCTACCGTCACTTGGATGGACCAACCGCTTCAGCGAAAGCATTGGCCAGTGTACTTAATATGTTCTTGGTTTACAATTGTATAAATCATTTTACTTTTCTACGAAATCGACTTATGGTGAAATATTTTTAACAATTTAACAGCCATGTTAAAAATTGGTTATGCGTTATGTTTTTTAATAATGACAATTTTGTTCATAGTAGTATTATTCTTTTATTTTCTCATATGTATGATACATTAACATGCAGCGAAATTATGTTAATATAAGACATATGATAATTTATTGCATGTGCAATTTTCCAGCAATCAATTGCAATCAAGTTACAGAAACAAAGAACGGAAGTTTGCGTCATTACAAGAGCTCATTGATAATCATACAGTCTATAACAATACAGTATGATACCGACGTGTACAGAGACATGTATAGGCAGTGGCAGTGGATCAGCCGTAAATAACATGTGAAACACGTATTGGCCTACTTATGAATAAACAGCTGCTCGCTTGCAACGTCGTTAACGTCAAATTTTAAAATTATACCGTGCGCCGGATCGCTTTTTACATGCACATTGCATTAACGGCATAACATTTTCAATTGTTAACGTTTCTTGATGGTATTTTTTGTTTCGTATCGGTGATATATTTCGATTTTTGTTCTGTGTATTTTTATGTAAATGCATCTTACAAGATATTCTCACATAGGTTCATATCATGATTAAATTATTAGGCATATGAGAAAAACCATTATTATAAGATTGAATGTCCTGAAGACTTTTAAAATCTATTTCCATTTTTAGACATACATATATACATTTATAAGGAGGATTAAGCATATGCACTATTTACAAGTGACATTCACAGGAACGCTGATCATTTCCACTTAACTATAGTGTAGTTTAATCATATCAAAAATTCGTGCTAAATTTAAAGGCGGGGCTTATTATACTAAGTGTTCTATCCCATGATTCAAATTATCGAAAACATATTTTTCAGAAGATCAACACAATAACTTTTTTTAATTATATAATATATATTTTCAAACATAGAACATACAACGTAGAAAATTTTGTTTATGATGGACAAATATTCAGTAGGATTGAATAAATATTATAGAATAGAATACACAATTACAGCCATACACTAAAATTATTTGATATTGAACAAAAATTTAATTTATTGAAAATTGCAACGTTAAACATGCCATAGATAACCCCAAATAGAATACTTTGTTTGAAGTAATATTCTTGAAATACTCGTATAACAAAGATAAATTTGTAACGAGCTTTCATAGACGAAACGATTTATGTATTAAAATATCAAATATAAAGACTTTTATATTAGGCGCTAAAGATACATACGATGAAAATATGTATGTTTGTTACGGGGACAATACGACTATACCAAAATCTGAGGTATGTAACTATGATGTAGATGCAGCCGGTTATATGACTGGATGTAGGTCAGGAATTCATCTGCGAGACTGCGGTAAGTAAAAGGCCACAGTATATTAAATACATTTATTTTTTTTAACAATTATATAAGTCTTTGTTAGTTTAACATACATTTGAATAACTGTTTTCAGTAAAATCTACTCTAAGCTTAATATTTATGTCATCTTTTGTGAAATGCTCAGTAAACATTTGAATATATTCCAATTCATTCTAAGGAATAACATTTAAACAGATCTACACAGACCATCTATAGATCTGAAATGATTATACATATCTGGTACAAATCTCCCACCTACACTGTTCAAAGAAAATGGGTCAAAGTTGGAAGTAACAATCGTCTTGAAATTGAAATCGCTTATCGTTTACCAAATTAAAATCTTATGACCAACACCTTAATGATTCTAAGTATTAACCAGATAGCTTTACGGTCAGACTAATGTCCAAGTTTGACTCAATAGCTCAATCGGACTGTGACACCTCAAATTTCCAATGTTTAATGTAACTTTTGTCAATACTGTAGGAAATTCCGTACTTGTCTTGTAATTTCATCAAAACTGATAACCCTATTCAAAAGAAACCAATACCAATACATATAAGTCATAGAATGTAGTGAAGTTACGATGGCGAAAAGTCAGTTTTCATTTTTTGTAAGCTTTTGGTATGCATGGAAACATGCTTAACCGTATATCAGTCATATATAAATCAAAAACACTAAATGGAAGACGTGCTTAAATGGAATTGGCAAGAAATGAATTATTGGCAATCTAAGTGCACAAAGGTATTCCAACTCTATGAGACTTTACTGTAAAATTAGGAATAACAAATCTGTTTAAAGATTACTTCTTATAAAATAAAACTTTTAATTTATTTTAACCGGACTTCAAGAGTTGATGTAGCATTAATAAATTGTCTACAAAACTTTCAGGATTCTATTGTACTAAAACAGTTGATGTAGCATTAATAAATTGTCTACAAAACTTTCAGGATTCTATTGTACTAAAAACTATCCAGGTACTTATTACATTCTTGTTTCAGAGGATTTCGTTTGCCCCCCAGATACAGTTAAATGTCCAGATAGCTTTTGCATTGCACTTCGATTTGTGTGTGACGGGATGGCCCAGTGTCCTGGTGGACAGGACGAACACAATTGCTGTATGTACTAAATGTTTATTCAAATAGGTTCTTGGAGTGTAATGACTTAGCAATTTCATTTTACGATCTATATCATGCAATTATTCATGTAAACAGTCCACACAAAATGCATGATTTTTTTGGTAACTTTCAGCATGTGTTAGTGGGGACAAAGAAGTTATCATTTTTATAGAGGATACGAAACAACAGACTCACAGTAAAAAAGCCGCAGCATTATTAGCAAAACAATTCAAGCATGGGAACAACAAAGTTAGGTTACTTTTCTACCAGGCGAAGACAAGATTAGACAACTTTCCTCGCATACATCGACTGCTAGAAATACGTGAAGAAAACATTGATAGCTTCGATAAATTAAGTTCCGATTGCACATATAAGACTATGGCTAGAAATTTTCTCCCATCTTTACAGTTTAATCACGATGTAGAGAAGTTTCTTATTTTTATTGAAGATAGTGTTGAGTCATCTACAGTTGCTAGGATTATGTTTTCTAACATATATAGACCAGAATTTACCATCTATCGTGTCATCAGAAATTTCAGCTTTTTGACAAACATTGATCACACGTACGAATTTGTAAAAGATGTACGCATCAATAAATGGAGTTCACTTCATTCGATAGGATACAGGCATTTTCCAGAAATATGCAAAGGTTGGTTTGATAATAAATGTTAAGATTTATATGCATAGGTCAGCTTTTAACAAATAATTTTGTAGTAAACTCACATCCTGTTGAAAATGCACAATTAATTGTCAGGTAATGTCAAACCATCCCCGTGGTTTTGTTTGCTTTTTTTTCAATTTTAAGTTACAGAATTATTTCATGTACAGCTCGTTTATCGTCAAATGGTTTGGAATATTTTAGCTCATCCGAGATTCAGGTTGAGCTATAGCCTATAAGTATCAAAAGAGATGCTTCGGCGTCCGTCGTCTGAAACCGCTGGACAGATTTACTTCAAATTTGAACTGTAGGGTCATTGTTACAGAAGCTAAACATAATCAAAAAATTCTTACACATCTTCTTCTTCAGAACTAATTGATGGATGATCACCAAACTTTGTATGTAGCATTCCTAGGTAGTTTTCTATCAAATTTGCTCATATATTTATTTGATCGGTTCCTTAAAGGAGTTTCTAGAGCTAAAATAGAAAAAAATCTTTAAAAATATCCTTCTACTGAAGAAATGGATGGATGGATCACAAAAATGTGCTTGTAGTATTCTTAGGTAGTATTTTATCCAATTTGCTCATATTTATTTGATTGGCACAATAAAGGGGCTTCAAATTATAGTTTAATCAAAAGGGAAAAATTCATGTTGGAATGTATTTTATACATGTGAATATGTTATGCATTTTTCAAAAAGAAATGCTTTATTTTTGTCAAGTAAAATACTGTTATATTGAATTCAATTATTCAATTATTACACTATGTGCTTTTGTATCTGAACAATATACATATCTGCACGTTGTTTCTCGTTTGACATGCTAAAATAAGACCATGACCCCAAAACTGACTTGACATGCAGTATGGCAAAGTTCAATTGTATAAAAATATATATTTCTGGTACTATTTAGTGTTGTGTCATTACATTTTTTCACAAATCAATCTTGTAAAGCTAGGTAACAATAGAATAGAATCATCGTCTGTTTGTGTAAATAATTTTCACCTCTAGAAATTGGACACCATTGCATCATACTATTAATCCTTTTGCAGGGTCAGTTGTAGGTAGAGAATTTTCTCTTGTGTTTAAATTTAGGATTTAATAAAGATTACATTTGCTTCCTCTACCTTACTTACAAAGATGAGTGCGTATGCTTATTTATTTTTTATTCAATTTAGTTCATGGTTGCTGTAACCTTTTTTTTCATTTTATGTTGAATTGAATTTAAACTTCCAATCATTTTTAAGATACAATGTTGAATCTTATATCTATTTCATGTGCGTAATTGAATTAAGATATCAGTTAAAAGGTTATTAATATATTCGAAACCAATTGACCTACCTTTTTTCTTTTTTGATGTACCGACTTGAACTTTTACAAAGGTTGTTATTATTGATTTTAAATTGAATTTTGATATAAGCTAACCTACATTTAATATTTTGATATATTTTTAAAAGATTTGGACAGGGGTGTATTTTTTATTTAAAATTTTATTTATATTAGCCGACCTTCTTTGAATTTTTTGCGATTGCTTGACCAAGTTTTTAATTGTACATTTATATCCGAACTTGAAATTTAGACCATGGGTGTTATTTCTGACCCAAAATTGAATTGATTTTATCAGCTCACTTTCTGTTGATATTACTGATATCATTTGAACAACTTTCTTGCATCGTTACATATACTCATAGATTTTGGTCCAACGGTGTAATTTCTGATGCTTACTTGAATTTCGATATCAGCTGACCCAATTTCAATAATTATTTTTCATATCATTTGACCAATTTTATTGTATCTGATATACAGACTTGAAATTTCTAATGCTGAATTTAAAGTTGATATCAGCTGGCCTACTTTTGATATCTTTGATATTGTTTGTCATTTTTTCATTTTTAACGTAGAGTTTTATTACCATTTAGAATGTATAAATTAGCTTTATAAATTTCGGTTTTCCCAAACTTAAAACTTAAAAGGTCTACATTTTACATATTTTCAACGTGACATCTGTATGTATTCTTTCACAAAAAGTTATAAAAATTGGTCAAAGACACAAAAGCCGGGTTGCATTTGTATACCAAGTATCACGAGGATGTGATGTTACAAAAAATGTTTACCATTGACAATTAATGTCGAAAATTTAACTAATTCGGTAATAGGAAATGGATGAGCGACAGACCTGAAATCGAATCCCACAGTATGGGACCACGTGTCAATGTTATATGCCAAATATCAAGAGGCTGTGATATCTAGTTGCTGAGAAAACTGTTTTTTACCCGACAGCTCGCCACCCACCGCCAGCCGTCCGCCCGCCGCCCGACATTCAACATACTATAACCCGGGTTTGCACCGGTGCAACCCGGCCAAAAATTGTCCATCAAAATTAACCCTGATCCAGTGGTCATTTATTCTACATTTATTCTCATAGTCTCAAAGGAACACACATGTGACATTAATCTTTTTTAACCATACTTTATTTAATTAATTTATATTGTGAACCATGACAAAATGGGTCAGGTTTGTGAACTAAGGCCATATTGACCTTCTTGTTTATTTGGGAGAGAAAATCAAAACAATCAGTGTAGTGAAACTATATAACTAGAGGGGCAAGTTGAAGTTGAGCTGGACTTGCCTCTCGCAAGTTTATTTGAGTAAATAGTTCTAACTCTGAAAAACATTTGTTTCTGGTGAGCAATTCCGAGCTATCATTGCATGCTTGTTGTAATTGATTTATAATGGTGTCTTTCAGTGCAAATGCAATCTTACAATGGGGCTCTATCATTAGTAATTAGGCATTTATTTCTTTAAGATATACAATGTACATTAGTTAATAATATATCTTCAATAACTACGCTTCATTTTTCTTCCTTGCTATCTTTGTTTTTCATTCAACGCGCAACAAATTCTAAATGACATAAAAACGCGATTCAGAAAGAATGTCCAAAATGGCAAAAAATGAAAATGTTGTAGGTTCGGCTTGATTGAGCCTGTTCATTGGCGGTTGTTGCTATTGATATTCAGTCTCCCTAACACTAGACATCGTAAAATATCATTGAATGTCTCTAAACTTGTGTGCTTCAATAACACAAACATAAATCTTTCAAGTTAGGAAAGCAGGCTTTTTATATCATCATCAATTTTCCTTTTATTTTCTGTACAGAGGTCTCACATGTGCCGTGTGCTGGTGGTTTGAGGTGCTTATCCAGTAAGCAATGTATACCTCTTCATCAAGTGTGTGATGGCATAGTTCACTGTATGAATAAAGATGACGAACATATGTGTGGTTTTAGATGTCATAATAAATGCAATTGTGTAGACAGCACGGTTGACTGCCGAAAAGCTAATTTAAATATTTCAAATATACATGATCTGTCAAGGAGAACTCGAAGCGCCGACTTAAGCTATAACCATGGAATAAAAGATATTTTATCAAAAGAAAACATTCACTTTCCTTTCATGTTGTTCCTTGATGTGTCAAATTGTCGTATAAAAGTTGTAAGCAGTATGGCATTTTCAGATATAAATAATTTATTGAAACTCAACATTAGCCACAATATAATAAAAAAACTTGCTGACAACGTATTTAAAGATCTACGACACTTAGTCGAGCTAGATCTTGATGGAAATTCAGAATTAGAAGAAATATCTGCTTCAGCATTTCAAGGTTTACAAAGTATTAAAACTTTAAGAATATCGGGAACGAAATTAAAGAAAATAGCAACCTTAACATTCTCAAATTTGAAATTGGGAAGTATTGATATATCAAATAATGAAATTCGTGAAATTGAAGATTTTGCTTTTAATAATACGTCGGTTAAAAAAATCAACTTCGAAGGTTATAATATACTAGAATTCCATCAGTTCATTTTTTCGGATGTTGCTGCTTTGATTGAATTACGTACACCGGCGTATAAATTTTGTTGTATACGTCCTTGTTATGTCAAAGAAAGTAATTGTTATCCGCCAAAGAATGAGTTTTCATCTTGTGACGACTTAATGAGACATCCAATTCTGCAGGCAGTTTTATGGCTGGTCGGAATAGCTTCATTACTCGGAAATCTCGCATCAATTGTCTACCGCGTTGTGTATGACAGACATCGACTTAAGATTGGTTATGGAATATTTGTTACGAATTTGGCATCTGCAGATTTCCTTATGGGAATATATCTTATTGTAATAGCGTTTATCGATACTATTTATAGAGGCAGGTAGGTGCTTATTATTTTACAATTTAATCATATTACACATTTAACCCATTACCTCATATATACGCAAACAACGCACTTTCGACCCCCCCCCTCTTTTAGGCTTCAGATAGTGAAAAAATGTGCAATTTGGGCCCCACACACATGTTTTGAGAAATGTTGCTAAAACAAGTGAGCACTTTTTCGGCGCCAAGAAAATTTTGGACTTGTGAGAGGCTAAAAAAGACCCCAGGTCGATCATAAGGGAACGTGTAACCAACGCTGAAAAGCATTTGACTCTATCTCAATCCATTGAGAAGTTGCAGCACTTTGAAATCAATTTTGATGGAAGAAATCAAAGCAAAATAGTGATTTTTGGCAATTTTGAGATGTCCCCTCGTTGCCATGGTAACAGGAAATTTAAGACTGAGTTAGTCGTTTCAAAGGCAATGGTCCGTTTTACATGTGTGCCAAGTTTAATTAATATTGAAGCATTTTTTATAGTTTCATAGCAGTTTGAACTTATAACAGAAGGCTTTTTAATGAAAACGGCATTTTTTCACAATATGCTCATGAGGGAAAGGGCTAAGATAATTAAATTAAACATAAAAAATCATATAATGTATAGCATGTATCATAACCTTAGTCAAGTGGAAAACGTCAAATTAAGGATCTCATCTCTTTAATAGGTATATTTACATGGACGACCAATGGCGAAACAGTATATGGTGTACCCTAACCGGATTTTTGTCAACCGTATCTTCTGAAGCAAGCGTCTTCTTCTTATGCCTTATAACAATCGATAGACTTCTAGTTATCAAATATCCTTTTGGAAACGTAAGGTTTACACCAAAGAGAGCTAATATTTGCTGTTTAATTTGCTGGTTCATTGCAGTATCTCTCGCGGTTATTCCTATTTTCCACACAGGCTATTTCAAGAACAAGTTCTACTCCAGGTCTGGAGTATGCATTGCACTACCTTTGTCACGTGATAAACCTCCGGGCTGGATGTATTCCGTGTCAATATTTGTCGGCTTAAATTTCAGCACATTTATCCTTGTTGCATTTGGTCAGTTATCAATCTTCTTAGAACTTCGGAAATCTGGCATAGGTGGCAAGAAAACACAGAAATCAAGAAAAAGAGATCTGCAAGTAGCCAAAAATCTTATCCTTGTTGCAACAACCGATTTCCTTTGCTGGTTTCCAATTGGATTAATGGGTAAATGATAAACTATATATTCGACAATTCGAAACGTTCTTTAACGATAACATCGATAACAGGTTTTGCAGTTATATTTTGCTTGATGTTCTTTCAAACAAATCTTTTTACAACATGTTGATTCATCATGTCTAGTTGAATTCGTTTATATCATTTAAATCATTTAGTAAACACTTAACTTTATGCAGAGAACATACATTTAATTATAATTGACAGACTCTCCTTTGTGTACTTAATTTTAGAATGCAGATGATTTTTTTTGTATCTGTTTATGCGGTTGTTTCTCCTTTCTATATGCACTTAATTTTATGACAAACTCTCATTGTTTGCGCGATTATTCGAAAAATAAAGGAAAGGAAAGCTATTGTATTCATCACGGCGTCAGTGTCACTCTCATGTTTAGGTTTGCGTGCAAATTGGTTTTCTGCCTATTTCACTATTGCATCTGAAAGAAATATCTTGTATGCGTTGAAGTTGTTTTCTTTTATATTAGTGGAATTACCAAATTTTGATGGTGTTTTTCAGTTACACAATAAGAGATTTACCAATTGCCCATCTATTGATTTCTTCTTTTGTCAAATTTATATCTTATAAATATTCCAAGCTAATTTCAAGCTATTTTAAAACTAGTACAAGTAGGTAACATTTTTTTTTCGCTGAGACAAATATATTTACTCTTTTGAGAGCGTAAAAGGGGACACTCTCTATCCCAGGTCTAAATCACGTACATATATTTTGACAGATTTATGGCCCTTTTTAACTTAAAATATTCTACATTATACTCTTGCTTAACTATCAAGCAATGAGGTTAGTTGAGCAACCTGTCCCGCTGACAGATCTTGTTGTGCAGACTCTTTCTTTTGTATTTTCAATTTATGCTGCAGACTCTTATTTAAGCACATACAACTATGCCGCATAATATCCTTTTTGCGCTTAATTTACAAACAAAAAAACACTTTTTTTATTTTGTTTTGCTACAAACCTCAACTTGCACTTGAATATTAAATACTACAAATCTACTTTTTTTGCTTTTAAGTTACTGCTGCAGTCGCTCATTTTTGTACATGAGTCCATATTTGCTAAATTTATTTCGTCAGTGTTCAGTTCTTCACAAATCGTTAGCAAATTTTAAAATTGTCCCTTTAGTTTTTTTCTATTTGTTTTGCATTGTCGGTTAAGGTTAAAATTTCTTTTATTATACCATATGGCTAAATATGATTTCTTTTTCTAATTCAGGAATACTTTCATTGAATGGATACACTATTTCTGGAGATGTATACGCATTTACTGCAGTGTTTATACTTCCTTTTAACTCGGCATTGAATCCTTTTCTGTACACACTTTCAGCAATAATTGGGAAAAAAGTAAGTAATCACAGAAGCTATATTTTTCAAATGTTGGCTGTTTAGATTATATAACATGCAATGCTTGCTTGAAAAGAAAGAGCCCAAAAAATCAGCAGTATATTAATGATAAAGTTTATATGTATAAGCATTTCTGTAGTCAAGCCGAAAATGTTTAGGCGATTTATCCAGCTAAGCAAATGGAGGAATTTGCCCTGTCCTTGCATTATTTTACACAGGAGCGGGTATCTGCATATATACGCAGATCGTGTGTAAGCTATCTTGATCCTCACATAAAGAATCCATACTCACTAGCGGAAAACTTAAACCACATCAGCCTTATCCACTCGGTCACAGATGTTCCACGCACTCTCAAATTAATATCAAAGCTTTTGCTTTCTTTGGGTAGAATTTGAACTGTTAATGTATAGAATGGCAATATGTATACTTTTAAATTATATGTATTGTTTACTTTAAAACATTTTCACAATGAAATATTAAACATTAAGCAAGACGTTTTATGAATACAAATTGTGCATCTTACAGAGTTTCAATCCAAGCCTAGATGAACAGAATAGAACAGAAATGCAGAAAGGTAAATATGTTTACATATATATCAATTGTTTTTAAGCAATCAGGAAGTAATAGGAAAAGGAATTCTATTTTAATAAACTTCTTAATGCTCGATCTGTAAATTGTTGTCGTATAGGTGTGCTTTTTTGGACATTGTGAGGTATCATACTACATCATATTTTGAGCGTCATGTATATTCAATTATTGTGCGTTTAACAATTATGATATCTTTAGCAAAAATGTATATATTAAATAAATGGATAAAAACAATACGAGGGTAAACGACATTGATTATAATCATGATAATAAAACATACTAAATGGAAGCAGCAGCAATTACAAAACAGCAACACCAGCAGTAACATAAAATTGACTGCCATGTCCAACGATTAGTATTATTATTACTATTATTAAAAAGAAAGGAGTCGATCAATCAATCTTCTAGTCCATCATCAATACTGCAATTTATCTTCTCAAAATGCTAACTTCTATTTTACAATGAATTTAGTGACACATGATTTAACATATTTTGGTTGCTGGGCTAATTGTTCTAGCTTATTATAAAAAGGAAATATAAATATCCAAACATTTAGAAATTGAAAAAGGATAGATCACTCGAGGGAACAGAAAATCCACGACATTGCCAATTAGAACACAAAAATATATCACAGAATCACATACAAATAAATTAATATTCAAGGTGAATAAAACTCATTATTCGATACGACTTTTTCAGAGATAGGTTCAGCTATCTTGAATTACACAGATTTTAGTCGAACGGTTAGAACTAAACGAGAAATTGTGCCAAGTGGGAGGACGAGAAGAATCGAGGATGTTCCTGGTGACGATAAAAACATGTCTGTAGCAAGTGTAACTGCAATATCCTATCACCTTGCTAACTATCTTAGTCTTCTCCATGAATCATTTGTTGGAATTGAAAAACTTTCAGAAACTAACACTTTCATTCCATATGGAAAGACAAAAGTAAGTGTCATAATTATAGTTATTTGCAAATTCAAATGCTTTTCTTAGATAAGGGTTGGAGTATAACATTTTCATATTAAATTTCCATTTATTTATCAATGTGACTTTTCATGTCATTGTTTTATATTTTAATTATCGCTTTGCCAGACTACTGTGTTCAGTTTAAGTATATTCCTTTTACTCGTCTTGTATTTAAATATATATAATATTAAATTTACATACAATTTAGTGCAATGAAATGAAATATAATTTCTCTGGTTTGTCACATTGATTTTCCCAAACAAAGTGCTAAACAAAAACTCAAAACAATTATTTAGTTTTGAAATATCTCATGATCCGAACGCTTTAAGGACAAATACAAAATACTGGCAAAAATGATATATTTACTTCAACTTATTCATCTTTAAGAGATGTAACATATTATGTCCTTGACTGAAGAAATGATGTTTAGAAATAATAGAATGATAAGCTTACGCATTGAAAGATTTCTTTTTGATGTATTTCGTTATGAGTGTAAATGTTTTTCAAGTTATGTTTTTTTCCAGTTCACGCATCTTGTGTTTTTTATCCTTATTTTTCAAAATCTTGCAATACACATTTTTTACATTATTCATAGGCGGAAAAATCAATCATAGTCCTTGATACGAAAATGACACTTGTAGTCGACGATCGAAAGAAAGCTGATAATATATATCAATATGGGTGCCTTTTACGAAAGATGTTAACAAGATGTAAGGCAAACGACAAAACAATTCCAAACGAGGGAAAAGTGCAGAACTTATAATCATTGTCTGTAAGAATAAAATATGTTTAGATATGGTCAAATTGTGTGTTGTCTGAAGAATGGAATAGAAATGTACGCCCTTTTGAAGATGAAAGAAAGGAATTTCCTTATAACTAAAAAGAAATGATGTTTAAATTACATGTCCGAGATGTTAATGATTTTCAATATGAGTAGTGAGAAAAATGTTTATAAAAAACAAAACAAGTTGTTAGTATAAATAGTTAGTATATTGTTAGTATAAATATTGTTATTTAAAATAAATTGTTGTGATAATTGTGCTTGCTGTTGTTAACAAAGAAATAATTGTAGGAATTGATGTCACTGACATTTCTTTTGACAATAGTTTTTGACAATAGCTTACAAGGAAACCTGCGGGGATATCATAAGAGATCCTTTTGCCTGAAATAGTGTTTATATGTTTGGTTTTCTACAATATCTATAAAAATTAAAGATATACACAACACATATGGATAATGCAGACAAAATGCGTAATGTGAATTAAAAAAGTGGTTTTGAATTAATTGTTACTATTAATGTTGTTTAAGGTAGTACACCCCAAATGCACTATCTCCACTTTGCAGAGTATTAAAATAGACTAGAATCTCTGTAAAATGTAATGAAACTGAGGGACGTGGGTTCAAAACCCAGAGGGGGCAACTTTTTTCTTTCTTTTTTTGCTTTTAATCATTTTTTATTGATTTCTCAGATCACTTATAGAAGAAAAAAGTGTTTCATTTAAATTGTATAATTAGTGTAGGTATTTATTAACTAAATAATGCCAAATTAATAGCAAATATAATACCAGATATTTTCAAAGTTTAATAAAATGAAAACTGAATGGTAAACTTTTTCTTCATTTGCAAGACCAACCAATTTACATTTAAGAAAATTTAGGGAACTTTGAAAACGGCCCCTCATTATGGAAAATTTCTGGAATATTCTAAATAAGTGTTAAATGTGGATGGTGTGGGATAGGGTTACATTTTTATACATATTAAAAGATTTCGTTTAAAAACAATCATTTTACTTGTTTTATTTGTTACCTAGATGTCATTATTTGCTTGTTAACAATAAGTAATAAGAAAATATTTTTCATAATGATGGTATTATAGATTATTTAGAGTTTCATCATTTCTGAAAGAAGCCCTTCTAATTGCAAAGTTTTAGTGCAGAAAATTGTCCATAGGTCATAAACCACACGGTAAATTTTATCTAAAGTTTGCATACAGGTGACATTTAAGGCATATAACTGTCCTATGTTGTCAATTTTACAGATCCTTGTAGTGCCCATCAGGGGTGTTCTACCTTATTTTGCCGTGATGGACGTCGACAGTACTTTTATTTGTATGTCTACATTTGTTTTTGTTGTTGGTGTTTTCAATATCGTAATTGTTTACAATATATCTGTGCGTATTCACAACTCATGTTCCGTGTTTGATGTTGTTAACAAAATAATCATCAATGGATTCTGGTGTCACATACGTTTAACTATTATAGCTATCAAACTTAAAAAAAAAGGATGAATGTTTCCAATAAGGGGTTTGCCTGTAATAGAAAAGGTGTTGTTGGGATATCTAAAATTTCTTGCCACTTTTTATACATGTATTGCTTAAAAGCTGCACGCCTCCAGATGTGCCAAAAAATTTCAATAAAATCAAACCTGAGAAAAATTTATAAAGATTTAAGGAACGGTAAAAAGATTTAAAATTATAATAAAGAGCGATTAACGACCGATTTTTAAAAATATGTATGACTATAATTCTACTGCGTTACTAACGTAGTAAGTCTTTTTAGAGCTTTTTTCATATTTTGACCTCTTAATAGTAATTAACAAAGGTTGTTAGTGTCATTGATAATGTGTAAATTGCATGCGTTTGGTAACTTTACAATATTATACTGTTAAATACATTTTCAAATTTTCAAGAAAATAAGCATGAATCAGGAGGCGTGCTGCTTTAATAAATCTGTAAATTATTTTTCAAAGATACATTTTACTACACAATTTGATATTCATTGTCTATGTTTTTTTATAAATGTAATATGTTTTTATCGTTTATGTGAATATCTAAAAAAGAATACTTTGATGATATTTCGGTTATTTTGTTATTGTTTTTGAAATCAAGGCTTCGTGACAATTTCATTTTTTTATTCTAACAGCTTATGTGAAAATGGGCATTTATGCAATGTACTTATTTCATATTGTAAATTGACAGATTATACAAAAAACGATGTTTTGAAATTATTGTAAGTATAAATGTTATTGTTTACGCTGTTTTGTTGTGATGAATGTTTTAAGTATATTATTTGTATATTAATTGATTGCTGTAAAGGTTTACAATGCTTTTTGGATTTTTATAACTGATTTAAAGTGTTGATGTTGTAACCATTACAAGATATTGGTGCCAATGACCTTTAAATCTGAGATCACGTTGACTATAGTATCCTCAAACGGAGCTCGCTCGTTTAAATGTTCTTTTATCCAGAATATCTATCCACATATTCAGCTTACATCTGTATTTTTGTTTATGTTTCTAAAATAAATTTTCAACATACATGACATAGTTTATATGTTATTTGTCTTTGTTTTTCTGATGTGTCTTCTGATTATTTTTTGAATTTTGATTGAAAGTAATCATTTTATGGCATTTATTTTTTCGAAATGAAATAATGTCACGTGACTGTTTTATAATGTGCTGTTACATGTGTTACGGCTTATGTAACTATAAATATATAGGAAACGCTACAAAAGCTTATTTCTGTATTTGAAAAAGATGTCAACATTTCGAAGTGTGTTCATTTTTTATGCTTGTTTTATTATTGTTAAGTATGTTATCATATTTTTGCTGTATATATTACTACTATAGTTATAGATATTATTGTACATGTTTACTAATGTTGTTTTGTGATCGGGGTTTCATTGTTGTTTTTTTTCATGACAAGTCAGAGCTATTGCTTCCTTAAAAAGTGTTTACATGTAGAAAATTCATCCTTCAATATATTAGCATTTTTACCGTAAAACAATTTTTTGATTATTCTTTCTTATCTATGTTTTTTTCTTAATAGTGATATATACACACATGTATTATTGTTGCCCATGTTTCAAGATTATGATATTTTGTTTTTCTAAATGGACATTTCAATGAAACAAGTGCTATTATTATCGACATAATATTGCTACATGAATTGAAGATAACGCAAATTTATTTGATTATGTATTGTTCAAAGTTCGAGGTTACAGTAATTTTAAAATGAATATTGTTATTGACTCTACAAATTATAAATATTTGCTTATTAAGTAGAAATATTTGATCTACGCATTTGTGTCAAATTGCTATTTTTTTGTCTTTGAATTTTGACCTCATTATTATTATTGAATTATAATATCGGTGTTGTTGGTGTTAAAACCTGTCGTGTAGTAGTAAAAATTGGTACAATTGCAGATTTCATGCTAATTATGAATTTGAAGGTGTAAGAAAACGATGGGTGTTATTTATTGCTAATATTCAGTCAGTGTATTTGTTGGGAGCCGTATGTTGACAACAACAACAACAACAATAACAAATAACAACAAAAATGATAATACACGAATTTACGAATGAGACGAATACTTTGATGCAAGAACGCAACAGCAAATATGCCCTCTTTCTTACGTAAATTTATGCAGACGCCATAGTTTTAAATAAATCTCTTTTCTTTGAATTCGTACTTGGGCTTCTGCAGATGGTTATGTTCAACACCAAATATGTACTGGAATTAGTTAAGCACGTGATACAGACACAGGATTTAATGATTCACGAAAGTAAAAATTAAATATCCTTTGGAATATAAAATTTATTTGCTGTATCATAATGTAAATTAAACCTGATTATATTTAAGAATACTAATTGACACACATTAATAACCAAATCCGAAATAACACCAATAGCCTTGTCATTTATAGTAACGGTTTTTAAACTTATAATTATTAGCAAATGAAGTATCTACAGTTTTTCTTATGTTTATTAAAAATTTATTGGTGTACTGCATCTGTTATGTATATGCATACTACTGAGTAAGAATTTTACTGAAAAAGGGCTGGTTGCGTTTTATTATGTTGTTTATTATATTTTTATAGCAAATTTAACACTTACAATGTAATGAACATCAATATTATGATAAGTGTTAACTATGCGTGTACGATTGTCTTATTGACTATTCTATATAAATCGTTTTGTATATATTGTAAAAATAAGATTCATCACCACTTACGTACCATTTGTTAACATGCAAGTTACATTTGTGTAATGCATCTGTTATGTATCTATAGACCCTTTCATTTAAGACCGGGTTCAAGTTGTCGCCCTTGGATGACGCCATGGGTAATACGATTAAGTACATTAATCGAGTGATATAAAGATCTTTATCCTTACTCTTGTAAGATAGGCATATTGACATTGACAAAATTTGGTTTATAAAATAATTAATAAGATATTACATAAAATGGATGGTCAAAAGAATAAAAAAGTTTACCATAATAAGGTTAATGATTTGTTTCAATACTAGACCATATAGCTGGGTAACTGACCATGGTAACCATTTTCGTTTGATTCTTAATAATTAAATTTTAATGAAAATTGTCGCACCGTGTTTTACCAGGCAGTTAATTTCTACTAGCTTGCTAATTCCAGAGATGTAGTCTGCTAATACACAGTCCCCAAAATACATTTTGAATTTTCAATATGTAAGTTTTCTGTAGTTTTGAACAAAACGGCTGCGACATAATTAATTGCCAGACACTGGTTAAATAAATATTTTTTGATTTAAGCATTACTGAGATAAAGAAAAACAATTATAATATTAATCTATGTAATTTAAAAAAAAGCATTAAAGCATAAATGTAACAATTTGTTTGAATGTACATATCTTGACTTTATACTTTTTGTGACTTTCTCTAAAAAAATCGTACATAATGCCAATTAAATTCACTACATCTTATATTGAAGCTGGTAAAGTGTTTTTCTAACTTGTTATTTTTATTTTATTCATATTTTGCTTATCAAATATATTAAAATAAAATCACTAAGAAATACGTACACAGAAATGCGTAATTAACTGAATAATATTTCATGTACTTTTGTCTGTGCCAGTTAGTAGTCATTCTGGAGTATCAAATCAGTATGGAATGACCAATAAAGTCCCCTAGGATGATCCATAACCAAAATCGGATCATAAGTATTTTTGAGAACTTACAAAAGTGACGTAATTTGATGTAATGTTATAACTTTCAAATTTGCACCCTGGTGATTTATGATATCACAGCCGCTTGTATATACAGCATATGCACCCTGTAAATTAATATGTTACTGCCCAGTGGCGCTTATATATACTAATCATATTATTGATAAACTAATTTTTTTTTGGAAAATGTCTTTTATTTTCATAATTATAAGAATAGATTTGTACTATCAAAATGATATTATTATCGTCTGATGCGAATCTTTTGTTATAAAAGTCATTGCCACATGGTTTATATTCTTTCAAGAATATTTAATACTGGTTCTGTGAAAGATTTCTTTATATGACATAATGAAAAAGAATCAATAAGTTTGAAAAATTGCATTCTGCTATTGTTCTAAAGATTGATAAACAATCATTAAAAAACAAAACATGGACAATCTTATTTTCATGTTTGTCACAAAACGCCGGAATTTTCTAAATGACAAAAATCACACTGAAAACAAGAAAATGACCATTCAAATTATATTAGGTAATTTTCTAGGAATGGGTGTTTATAGAATATCAAAATTTGATTTAGTTACTAGATTTTTGCCTGTCATTAGAGAATGTTAAATGATATATTCACTTTGAAATTCCGCTGTTTTACCCCGTAGCAAGAATTAATCTTAATCTTTGTTGTTTTTTATTTCTTTTATTTTCTTGACATGACGTTTATGTATGCATAAGTCATATTTTTCATATTAAAATCGTAATTTAACGATTAGTATTTACGAATTTAACTTTCGAACAGTCGACGTAGTTTGTATTATAGTAAAATCCTCAATTTACGTCACATCTTGTAAGGGAAGTAATTCTTTCTCGACGTTTATTGCTTAAATGAAAGGGTCTATATGCATTTTACTGGAAAAGGGCTTATTGTTTTATTATATTGTGTATACTATAATGAACATAAGGAGAATAGTAAGTGTTCACTTTCTTGATATGCATTGCTTTATTGCTTATTCTAAATTTGTTGTATTTGTTGTAGATTCACTTTGATTTATCAATAAATATTCTTTTGTAGCACTTATTTTATCTTTTACCCCATTACAAAGAAAAAGTATCTTAAAGCTTTTCAATGGACTTCCCAGTTCGCTACATGATAAAACGTGTGTGATTAAAGAAACAACGCCGTGTTAATTATATGTTCCCTGAGTTTAAACATTTCAACACAAGGTCACTTGTCTTACATATTGTTCAAGCTAACTTGTCCACATTTGTTAAAGTTTGCATGTCCGAATGTGTTTTATCAGTAAACGTTAAGTTCATATGTCTTCATTAGTTCAGGGTAAATTGGACATATTTTGACCGAGTTTAAGTTTAATTAAATAAATTCATGGAATGATTAAACATCATTACGTTATAGTAATCGACCTAAAATATCACTAGGAAATATATTATAACATAAGTTAACATGTTAATGCAAATATCCATAGGTAAAAATAACAGATGTACATTAAACGTCTTGTATTTAACCGGAACTCATACATTTTCCTTATTCAATTTCTTTTCCTCTACATGGTAATTGAAATATATATATATATATATATATATATATATATATATAATATATATATATATATATATATATATATATATATAAACAACAAAAAACACAACAAAACCAGCAAAAATCAAATCATTTTATCTCAAATGAAAAAAAGCTCTCGACATATTTCTACAGTCATGGTGTCGTTCCCCTTGCCGTTGGCGTCTACACACTTTTAAATGTGTCATTTTTTATTTCAGATATTTGATTATTAAACAAAAGAATCTTTAGACAAAAATGTAATTTTTTTTTTAAAATAAAATACAACCTTGACGTTTTAATTACATTCAAAATACAAAGTGAAATATTGAAATATGCTTATATGTCGTATATTTTTATTATTAATTAACAAATCTGATTATATAATTCAAACACGACAATGACCGTTGGACGAACCTGACACTTAAAGTCAAATTATTGTAATTAGTGGTATTGATCCATACCTACACAAAACTCGACTTATTCAAAATCTGACATGTTGACGTATTAAGTGGACAATATTGTATTAAGCATAGCATAAACATTTTTATTTGTACTGGTACAGTGCATGCTTAATAGTTAATGTACCAGTATGCGTTTGATTTATAAATGACCTTGACGGTCAACTAAGTATGAAACTTTTATTTATTTTTATAAAAGAAGGCGATATTTTCTTAGAGAATCGACATTACTGATATGTACGTCCTATAATGTGTTTGCCTTAAGAAATGAGAAAAAGTGTGCCCGTTTGCAGTTGCTTTGTTTTGACAATTGATGCCGAGTCTGAAAATGATGTATTTCAAAGGCTTCAAAACTATTTTAATCTATTTTAAATAAAATAGATGTATTAATAATATTTGTCAAACGTTTTGGATCATGACAAATTAAATGAAATTCTATTAAAACGTAAACCGTGATCCATGGCGTCATCTATGTGTGCTAGGGGGCGTGAGGGATGTGCACATTTTCATTATTTTTGGGTGTGAAAATTGAAAGGGGTTAGACGTGCTTTTCTCTCAGTGAGAAAAATCATCATTTTTCTAAAACTAATGGATTAATATTTATATGAAAAGTGAGTTTATAACATTTTCTACATGTCTACAAATGAATCTTTATCGAAAAGTCAAATTAAAAGACGTAAAAGGGCAGAAAAACGTAAAGCAAGTAGTTCACCAGGGACAATACAAAATGGACAATTATCCCCTGAGAATCGCTCACCGATGACAGCGATATTTCATATATACTTCAAAATAGTAAGGAATATGTACAAATAGTCATGAATAATATATCACCAATTAATTATGATGACCAATACACGACCATGATGCGCGGGGAGCAAGGAGCTCAGACTCCTGTAACACCCGTGTTTGCTAGCACACAGTCTACTACCCCACCACCATGGGCGATCTCATTAATTGAAGATGTCAAAACGATTAAAGAGGCATTACCTAAAATATACCAAATAGAACAATCTGTCAGTAAACTAATACTTAGTGTTAAAGGAATAATTATAGAAAAAAAGGTCAAGGTCGCAAACAAATCTAATGGAGCAGATTTATTTTGCTGGTCAGAAAAAAGCTTTTAAATATAGTTTAAGTGGAAATTTAACTACAAATTTTATATCAAATGAAAGGATTTATTAAACGGATTATGAAGCTTTAATAACTTTTATGTTTTGAAGGAGGAAAAGTGATTACTTTGATAAAAATAAAAAACGATTGGATTATACACAAAATAACACGATTTTCACGATATTTTACGCGCGCAATTTTGTGTCTTTGTGTGCGAAAAAAACTGTGTTGAAAAGTACTGGAGTTGTGTAAACAAGCTGGTAGTAAACAGGTAAATAGTGTTTTGCTTCTCTTGTAAAATGCCGGCGAAAAATAGAACTTCTATATCTTCCATATCACAGAAGAAAACAAGAGGTAAAGAAGACACCCTTGAAGAGGATACTTCTGTGTCGAGTAACAATTCAAGTCCGAAAGCAAAAAATAAACAAAAACAGAACAATGAAGATAAAGGTCAGTCTACCCTTGATAAACACTTGTACTTATTCCAGCCAGATAGCCCGGAGAAATTAAATGAAATTTTGCAAAGGTTTTCCGAGAAATTAAATAAGCTTGCCTCACAAGAATATATAGAAACAAAGTTTAAACAGATGATCTCAGAAGAAATATTGAGTAAGAAGCTTAAAGAGCTAGAAAACGAAGTAAAGTCTGAGATTCAGAAAGAGCTAGAAAATGTGCGTACGGAAGTTGTAGAGTTAAATAGGAAGGTGAAAGCTATGGAATCTCTAGCAGACACGCTCAGAAATAATGTTTCAGATGTTGAAAATGATGTCGTTAAACTTAAAGAAGAAAACTCAAACTTAATTAAAGATAATGAATCTATGAAAGAAATGCTTATTGAGCGTGAAACACAATTAAAATTTCTAAATGAGAAAAGTAACAACCTCGAACAATATACCCGGCGGAATAGCGTGCGTATTTACGGCATTGCAGATAAAAAGAACGAAACGCCAGACGAGACGGCAAACAGAGTCATCAAGCTTGTGAATGATAAACTAAATATCTCTTTACAACAAACTGATATAGACGTGGTACATAGAATGGGCAGACATAATAATGATGGAAACAGACCTATCATTTGAAAATTTGTACGGAGATATGTGAAATCAGAAGTGATGAAAGCTCGTCGGAAGTTAAAAGGCTCAGCGATAGTTATTCGGGAAGACCTTACACACGAGAATGCAAAATTATTAGAAAATACATCAGCACATGACAAGGTACAAGCGGCATGGTCAGATGAAGGGAAGATAGTGGCACTCCTAAAAAATAACAGGAAAATCGTTGTAGATCGTAGAACAAATCTAGATACTTTACCAACGAGTGTTGAAAGTCGTTAAATAAGACAACTTTGAATTAATCAATAGACAACGTGAACAAATTTGAACTATAATCTGTCTCGGTATCAATTTGAACTTTCGATTTTTTATGTGTTTTTTTTTACTTATACTATTGTTAAAAGTATCCGATCAAATATTTATTATTTTTTCTTTAGTTTATTATGTAAACAAAAACCATGTGCTTATATACACGTGCTAATGTTTACTATTGTTAACTGAGCATCCTGGGCTATTTTGATTGGTTGGTTAGCTCTAAGTACCGCCTTCTTCAATGTAACGTGAATAGTTGAGCGTTTCAATGACCTAGACACGTAATACTAACAAAGAAAATGGCTGCGCCCATGAGGTGTGTCGGTAAAGGTTTTCTGTACGGTGAGAATTAATTTTACGCAAATTTAACAGCATTTATAGGCTCAATATTTTTCATGTATAAAGTATGAACTGTCTGCACCTGTACAAATACGGTTCGTCAGATATCGGTTGTGTTTTTCATAATTTACTATATTCGTATTCTGCATCGACGGCACATTTTTGATTGTTTTTGTTTTTTCTGTTAGTAATGCAATAGCTGTTAGCTACTTGTCAGGCGTAATTAGTGTATATTAATTAAAAAATGAAAATAAGCAAAACAACAACTGTTTTTACATTAATAATAAATGTACAGTGGAATGCGGTCCTTTGTGGTCTATTTTATTTTTTTTTCAGTGGCATGATAAGTTTAGTGTCAGGATGCTCAGTGTGTACATAAAGTTATCTTCATTCCTGTTGTGTTAACTATTAAAAAGAGATTGGCAGGTGATAGAGGTAAAATTTAATATTCCATTTTAAGGTAAAGTTACAGTTGTTCCATATAGTATGATGTACTATATCTGTCATATACATGTACCTGGAGCATATTATGTGACATATATGTACCTGATGCTCCTTGTGATGTTCCATGTAGCATGAAACATATTATTTACCACATGCCTGATGTTCCATGTAGCATGAAACATATTATTTACCAAATGCTTTATGTTCCATGTAGCATGAAGCATATTATTTAACACATGCTTGATGTTCCTTGTAACATGAAAAAGAATTTTTACCACATGCCCGATGCTCCATGTAGTATGAAACAAAATATTATTTGTCATATTTCTTATGTAATAACTTAAACGGACTGTGAAACATATTAATTGTTATATATCAAATGTACCAAGTGGCAAGATACATGCTATACTATTTATCTAATGTCTATGTAGCATGAAGCTCATGTTTTGTGTCATATTTCTGATGTTCCATGTGGAAAGTTATATATTATCGGTTGTTTCATGTAACATGATATTTGCTTTTTAGTAACTTTTTTTTTCTCTTTCTTTTTGCGTGTATCAGGGACTTTCAGTTAAATATTCTCTAATTAAAGAACTACGTTGGTATAAAAATAATAAGCAAGTAGTCCATTCACTGTAAAAGCAGTACTCCGGGTCTTCATGTAGAAATACTTGATTAATGTATTTTAAGTAGACCTCATTAATCTCTTTTTTTGTTACTGTCTGAAACACAAATTAACTATATACCTTTTTGGTTGTTTTTTTTCT